TCTCTCTCTCTCCTCTCTCTCTCTCTCTCTCTCTCTCTCTCTCTCTCTCTCTCTCTCTCTCTCTCTCTCTCCCCTCTTTCTTCCCCCCCCACCCATGACAGGCATGGTGTCAGAAAGATCTGAGTTCAAATCTAGCCTCAGACACTTACTAGCTAGTGCAAGTCACTTAATATCTGTTTGCCTCACTTTCCTTACCTGTAAAATGGAGATAATGATAGCACCTACTTCCTAGGGTCAAATGAGATAAAAATTGTAAAGCACTTAGTACAATGTCTGGCACTTAGTAAATACTTTATAAATGTTAGCATATGTATGTATGTTTAAATGTATATGAACGTGTGTATGCATTATACATATGTTCTACATGTGTACATATATGTTTATGCATACATATACATATATATTCCTTGTACATCCTTCAGGCTCACACCAATAAGGGACATTTAGCCTACTGGGCAGGGACAGCCACAAAATGGGAGCAATTAAATCAGAGAAACAACCCAGCAGAGCCACATATAGCTCACTCTCTGCCTTTCCTTTTGGAAAAGTCTAAATGTCAATGTTCCTGGAGAAGTATAATTATTATTCCAATTTTCAAAAAAGGGAGGAGGGTATACTCTGCACAGTACGAATCAATGAGCTTTACTACTCAAATCTGTGTTCTCATCAATGTGGATATTCTCTCCAGCAATGGAAGCTGCAATGTATTTCATGCCTACCCACCCTTGGCAACTGTTGTCCATGTCTTTCCATAAGTTCCACACAAGAGGATCCACCCAACACACTAGGAGCTCTCTTTGCTTTTTCTTAACATCACTAGGAAACTACTACTACTACTACTACTACATGCTAGCTTGTACCCAGCATCACTCAGGCTGGATACTTGTGAGCCTTAACCTTATCTCATGCCCAGCCTTCCTTTTCAACGATACATATCTTTACTCCAGTTCCTTACAGTTTCTTATTTGTTATGTGTTGCAGCCTGCTCTCATCCACCTCTCCACTGCCCTTTGTGATATTCATTTAATTCTTCACAGACTGTGTACTATTCCATGACTCATGGCTGGTGGAATATTGCCATGAAAAAGATGGTCCTTTGTTCCTGGGAAAAGTTTAAGGTCATTAATGGAGCACTGCAAGTTTTCCCGAAGACAATCCAACATGCTCTCCTCCTATTTAATTCTTGGCCCAATTCCTTGTCCATTTGTACTGTCTGTCCCAAATATGTATGTAATGGGGATTATACCCCATTGAGTATACACAGAACTGCCCTGCCTGCTTCCAGCCACTATGGGTGCTGGCTCAGCTGTTTTAGGAAGACAAAGTGGTCTCCTTAGCCCTATGATAGCAGTGACGGTGGGAACACATCAGTTAAAAAGGAGAGACAGCTTCTGGCTTACTTTCTAGGTGGCATGGTATAATTCTGGGACTTCCTGTGAGAGGTGGGGGAAGAAAGAACCTTCAACCTGTCAATATGGCAGCTACTCCACATGGAAGCCAGAGCTGGGGCTCAGCTCAGTGAGCTTGAGTCTAGGCTTCTGGTTGCCTCTTCTGCTTTGTTTTTCTTTGTCTGATAGTAGGTGACCAAACAGCAGTCATGAGATGGATGTGTCCAGCTTCAGAGGCTACATTGTGAGTTTCAGAGGTCTCAAGATCTGGGTCTCTTGGTCAGAGCTGACTGGTAGATTTGCCAGAAGATATGACCTGAAGGACTTGGCAGAGCTGAAGTAACATATAAAGTGCCTATTCAGAAGTCCCTCAGACTGTATCATGACTTGACGTTTTATGTATCAGCCTTCACAGAGAGTATATAAATCATTATTTACTTTATCCTGTGATGTTAAAAAAAAGACATGACTAAAAATAATTAAAATATTCTACATATTTTAAACCACTGACATGCCTGGGTTGGTCTGTCTGACACAAGTCTCTCCCCACTCTGGTTCATCCTCCATTTAGCCACTAACGTGATTTTCCTGAAGTGCAAGTCTGACCATGTTACCCCCCTACTCTATAAACACCAGTGGCTCCCCAATATCTCCAGTATCAAATATAAAGTCCTCTGTTTTATGTTCAAAGCCCTTCATACCCTCCCCTCTTCCAGTCTTACATCCTCTGTGTATTCTTTGATTCAGTAACACTGGTCTTCTTGCTGTTCCATGAAGAAGACAATGTGTCTCTGAGTTCTAGGCATTTTCTCTGGCTATACCTCATTCTTCCTCATCTGTTTCCCAGTTTCCTTGGCCTCCTTCAAGTCCTTCCTTCAGCTAAAACTCCACCTTCTACAGGAAGCCTTTCCTTATCCCTCTTAATTTAGCACTTTCCTTGTTAAATGCTGCCTATTTGCCTTTATATAGCTTTTGCACATATTTGTTTGCTTGTGGGGTCTTCAAGGGCAGAGACTGTCTTTTGCCTTTCTTTTTATCCCTAGTAATTAGAACAGTGCCTGGCCCATAGTAGGTACTTAAATGTTTGTGGAATAACTGACTAACATTATTTGCCTCTCCAAGGACAGCCTGAATCATTTTTACATTTAGCTAAAACTTCTTTATTTCTTCTGGTTTTGTTTAAATCAAGAATGTCAAGATCAGTATGATTCAGCGCCACTATTACTGCAGAAGTGGCACAGATCTGAGGATAATTTTGTATTTTTGTTTCATGGGTTGCCATGGCCAGAGAATTTATCAGCAAGGAATCATACAGTGGTGATAAGCCTCTCCACATTTAGCTGCACTGACCCTTGGGGGGAAGGGGAAGTCATTCTATTGGCAGGACTGTTCCACCATGAAAATAATTGCATCTTAGGCAGAAACACCTGTTACAGAGGATAGAAAGGTTAAATAAATTCTATGAAGAACTCAATAAGGCTGTCAGAGTTAAATCAACAAATACTATGCTCCTCAGGAACTACAAAGCAAAGAAAGGAATAGATGACAAGAAATTTGTTAGGATATGCAGCATGTCCCTAAAGTCATAGTTCAATTTTAAGCTTTAATAGTTTATGGTTTAAAGACAGTCTGGTGGTACTCTAAATTGTAAAATCCTTTAAGCTTTAATAGCTTAAAGCTGCACTAACACTTTTGGGACGCCCAGTATAGATCAGGAATAAAGAATGAAAGAAACCAAAGACTTGTAGGCTGTGTATGTATTTCTTTGAGAAAACAATTGGTAGGCAAAGGTGCACATTGTGCACACCACACAACATCACAGAAATAAAACTGATTATGTTGTAACATGCAAGAAACAACTCATTACTGATGTGGAAGTCATTCCTGAATCAGCTGTCTACACAATTACCACCAACTTGCTACAACAAGCAAAAAACTCCAGATTGTTGAAGTATTTTGAGGACTACAGGTATGCTGTTGCCCTAGGCGCTATGGACGAAACAGCTGCAATACACAAAAAAAGATGAGTAAGGCATAATTCCAGCACTTACAAAATATTTACTATCTAATTCAGCAGGAGTTGAGTGGGTAATAATTCCAGTGCCTAGTGGACTGATGCATATCTTTATACATACATACTTCAAGGTTCTCTGTGGTTCCTCCCCTGTTGCTGTTGAGTAGTGTTTGACTCTTCATGACCTCTTTTGGGGTTTTCTTGGCAAAGATACTAGAGTAATTTGCCATTTCCTTTTCCAGCCCATTTTTTACAGATAAGGAAACTGAGGCAAACAGGGATAAATGACTTGCCCAGGGTCACACTGTTAGTAAGTGTCTGAGGCCAGATTTGAACATATGGAGATAAGTCTTCCTGATTCTAAGCCCAGTCCTCTATCCACTGCCCCACCTACTTGCCCTGGGTCCTCCTCTACCAATATAGATTCAACCTTTCTACACTTGAGAAGATAGCCTTCATGAGCTCCTGTGGATGAATAAATTCAACAGCTTTCCAAACTTCTCATGATAAGCAAATTAGATAAGCAAGCCCTCAGATGGCAGACCCACAGTCTGTCACCAGGCCCTTATAATGACAGCCTTCCTTGGGGCAGCTAGGTGGAACAGTGGATACAGCACCAGCCCTGGAGTCAGGAGGACCTGAGTCCAAATCCAGCCTCAGACACTTGACACTTACTAGCCGTGTGATCCTGGGAAAGTCACTTAACCCTAGCCAAAACAGTAGTAATATTAATAATGACGGTGTTCCCGGTTTTCTTTATATGTATCTGTAGGTGTTGCATCCCTGCAGTAGAACCTTTGCTGCTTGGTTACAGGGGCTGTTTCGTTTGTCTTTGTCTTCCCAGCATTCGGTACCAAGACTTGTACATTGTAGGTGCTTAATAAGTTTTTGTTGAATAGAAATGGATTGGTAGGACCTTCTGAGGCTTTTGCTTTCCTAAATAAGCCCTTAAGAACTATGGATCAGATTGAGGCATTGGAGTAAGATTTCAGTAGATTCACAGAGATGTGTTTACAAACACAATTAGCAGTCAAAGCCAGGAATAAAGGATTCAAGAAGACAAGGGTTTGTCTCATTACACAATTTGCTTAAATTAACAAAAGCTAGTTTCTTGATGAAACCAAATTAGATCTGTGTGCAGCCCTCAATGTGGTTGATTAATTCAATATTTTCAGACAGGCAAAATCAGGAGCATCAGTTATATTCATACAGAACCCTTTCCCATAGAAGAAACTCTCAAGGAAGTTTAGTATCTAATTTTTCTTACAATTCTGACCAGCCTCACCTGTTTCTTTGTGAGTTGTCAAAGTGCTGGTCCATTGTGTATCTTCTTCAAATTGAACCCAGGTGCTAATGGCGGAGGCCAAATCAGATTTGGGCTGCATGACGTTGTCAGGTGGGGATGATGGCTCTGAGATGAGACCCAGCTTCTCTGAGCTATCACCCTGCTCTGAGTGAGAGAGGTCCTGAGATTCTCCATCGACTGTCTGGTTTTCCCCAGAGGAACTCTCTGACCTGTCTGAGGAAGAAGACAGCCCTGTAACAAGATTCTCAGGGCCACCTGAAACAGAGAGAAAATGCAGATATTTCAGTATAATCCACTGTTCTGAACTATTTAAAGAAGACAAAAGAGACAGAGAAGGGGAAAGTACGGCTATACACAAGCTATAAGGATTTCTAATAAAGAAACTGGAGGTGGGGTAGGCAGTAGGAACACACCTACTCATCCAGTTCTATACTAACGTGATAGTTCTCTCCTAATGGATCAAGGTTAAAATATTACACATATAGTATAATGACTAACATATTAACATTCAAATAGTGCTCTGACTAAAACTCCCTAAGTAAAAAAGGATTTTAGCAAAATTAAAGTAAAGCAAAGGAAATGAGGAACCTAGGGAAGAGAACATGAAAGTTTCCCCTAAGTATCTCAAGGACACTTCATGTGGAAGAGGTATCAGACACAGGATCATAGATTTAAGAGGTGAAAAGGACCTTGGAGGTAACTGAGTTCAACCTCTTCATTTTACAGATGAGGAAACTGATGCTCAGAGTTGTTAAGCAGCTTGCTAAAGGTCAAACACCTGAGTGCTTAAGGCAGGCTTCAAACTCCAGTCTTTCTGACAGCAAGGCTAGAGCTCTGTCCTTTACACAACTCTAATTCTTATGTCCTGCATGGTCCCAGAGGGCAGAATTAGGAGCAATGAGTAAGAGAGTAAGAGAATTAGGAGCAATAGTGGAAGTTAAAATGAGAGTTTTGGGTCTGGTGTCAGGAAAAATTTCCTAAAGGTTAAAACTATCTAAAGGTGGGATGGTCTGCCTTAGAATGTAGTATGCCCTGCCCTCTGCTCCCTCATTGTAAGTCTTCAAATAAAGCCTAGATAACTACTTCTCAGTTGTGTTTAAGTGGACATCTTTTTCGAGATATGAGTCAGTCTAGATGAACAGTGATGTCTCTTCCAACTCTGAAATTCAGTCACTTTGTAAAGTTCTCTCCTGAGCTTTAAACTTCCTGATAACAGGACAAAGTCATTAATAAGTAACAGATTTTTCTTAAAAGCAAGATGAGACCCCTATCTTCAATTAAAAAACAAAACAAAACATAAAACAAAAAAAATTTAAAATCATAATCCAAAAGAAAAAGACCCACTCGTATTCAATTAAACCCATTAAGTTCTGTCACAGAGATGACTAAATAGTAAAGGAATAACAATAAATAATGGCAGCCATTTTAGGACCAAGTGATTTGGGCCAACTAAAGTTTACTAGACATTGTCTTGACACATAATCCTGTGTTGAGGGAAAAGTTATTTAACATCTCTATGTACTAGTTTCTTTTTTTCTTTCTTTTTTGGCAAGGCAATCAGGGTTGAGTGACTTGCCCAGGGTCACACAGCTTGTAAGTGTCAATTATCTGGTCACATTTGAACTCAGGTCCTCCTGACTTCAGGGTCAGTACTCTGTCCACTTCATCACTTTGCTGCCCCTCTGTGTACCAGTTTCACAAACAGAACAGAAGAAGGATTACAATAGGCAGGATAGCTACATTACTCAGGAAAATAACTGCACAATGCAATCATCTGTAAAATTATCTCTACTATCCCTTCCAACTCTAGCTCCTATGATCCCATGATGATGAAATGCTCTACTACAACAGAGCTTGTAGAAAGAGAACAAATTTCTTACTGTTCAGAAGTGAATTTGGTCTTTCAGGTTATCATTTGGTGTCACAGAAATGCAGATACCCTATCCTATCTAGGCTACTAAATGGAAGAGTTCATGGATCTCTTTCTAGTGACCAATTTACATTATTTTAATAGTAGGACCAAGCCATGGATGGCAAAAACTGAAGTACTAGAAGCAACAAAATATAGGTCATGATTTGTTAGTCTTTTTTTTTTTAACTCTAGGAAATAACTGGAGACTTTACCTTCTGAAGTAACGGGAAAGAGTGACTCCTCAGTGAAAGATACCCACTCAGACTGGTGGGTGGCGATGACATTGCTAAGGGTCGTCATACTAGAGAGGCATCTTTCCACAGCTGATTTCAATGAGACCCTTTGGCAATATCTTGGTGACAGGAAAGTTGTAAACGATGCACCCAAACAGCCAAGAGTAATAATCACTTCTTAGAGACAGATCCTTCTTTCTTCAGGCTTCCCAATGGAGTGAAAACACCCTGTCCAAAAAAAAAAAAAAGGAATACTGAAATTACATATGAAGACATTTTCAGAAATGAACAATGTACCAATTTGTTTTGCTCAGCTATACTTGTTATTAGGGAGCACTTTTGCTTGGGAAGGTGTGAGTTAGTGGGTATATACAAAGATAGGAATAGAGCCAGGGATTGGACTTCTTATTTTGTTGGCATAGGTAACTCCAAAGTGAGGGAACTTGCTCTATCAATGAAGGTTGCTACCTCTGTTGTCTAGAACACTAAGCAGGGTCACAGAGCCAGGACCTGGCAGACAGAGGACTTGGACCTAGGTCTACCTGGTTTCCAGTTCAGCTCTCAACTACATCATGCTTTCTAAGTGATTAGATGGGAAAAAAAAAAGAAAAAGCAAAGAGTATTAATACTAAAATACAATGAAGAAATGGCTCTCTAGGAAGGAGACACGGAGGAGAACATGGACAATGCAAAAAAAAGTCAATGAAAGTCTATTACAATATACTAAAAAAGCAAAAATAAGTCCCAAAGAGGTTATATATAAATAAGACTTTTGTTATAATCTTGTTATGTTTAATATGTGCTTTTTTCCAAAGGAAACTAACATAAGTTCACAGATTTCTATATAATCCTCTTTTTTTTTTGTTCTTTGCATATGGAAATGTTTGTACTTATGGATAATTAAGTTCATCATAAAAATAATTAAACATAAATGAGACAGACATAAGGCTCTACTTTTTAAAAAAAACTCACAAAAGTGAATCATTTGAAGATGATGAACTAACCCAACCCAAGAAAACATTCAGCTTATTTTAATCCTCATCTTGTTCCCTTGTGTCATATTAGGCGTCATACCTCAAAAAAATTAGCCTTTAAATCAGCTTTGTTTTTTTAAAAAAAAAAGTCCACAAATTTTACTAAGCTGCCAAACATTTTAATTAACTTATTAATCTCCCAAGGATATAATTTGTATCATTATAATCTTCCATTAACTTTACAATTCCAAGGGCCGTATACTTTTCAATACACTTTGACATTCTCTTGACAGATAGTAAAATAAAGTCAAGTCTTCTCCGTTATTCATTCAGCATTGTAATTGCATTTGTCAGGTAGCAATTTGCAAGACTGATTTAAATCTGTGGCACAATCTACTGAAGTTTAAAGACAAAAAGTGTCCCGATAGTTTTGCCAAGCATGCTTCACAGCGTAAGAGCCCACTACATGCTCACTCATATTGGACCTAAAAAACTTCTAACCCTATTGGCACAGCTGGGTTAAGAGTTACATACTAGTGACTAGGCACATAAAATGAGAGTAAGGAATGAAGGCAGCTGCCACAAAAGACAGAAGCTATAGGAAAATAGGCTGTGTCAGGCAAATAGTCAGATTCTTAAAACCTGCATTTTGCTTTGTAATCCAATACTGACATCCCCACCCCCACCCCTTTCATCCTGACATAAATCTATATTCCTGCAATTAGTTTCTCACTTCTGCCTCAACTCTGGATTTTGGACAGCTGGAGCAACTCTTTCTGGTACCACGGGTCGGGGCGGGGGTGGGGGTGGGTGGGCAAGGTGGCATGGTGAATAGGATCCTGGACTTGGAGGCAGAAGACCTGAGTTCACATCCTTACTCCAAAACATACTAGCTACAGCAACGAGAATCAAATTACTTAACTTTTGAGTCTCAATTTCATTATTTATAAAATAAGGATAATAGAATTGTTGTGAGGATCAAAAGAAGTAATATTTGTAAAAGGTATTTGGCAAACAGAAATAACAAGATGGTGCTTTGGACACTTTGTCCTGCTTTCAAGAAGCATTATATGCCAAATGGAGAGCAATTATAGTTAAATCCATAAAAAGAAGAGAGAACTGCCACAAGCTAAAAAATCCTTATGAATCGAATTAACAACAGGAAAATGTCAATCACTGATTTAGTACCCTACCTAACCAGCCCATCCCTCCTCCATCCCCCCATAAGCTTGTGCTGGGGGCCCATATTGAGATCTCCTTCAGCAACCTTTGAAGACATGCCCTATCCTCTGACTCATTTCTTTTCTAGAAGAAATAAAAAGAAACTAGTAATTTAAGTAAAATCCCTAACCTAGGGAAACTGTTGGCAAAAGACAGACAGGGAGTTGTGGGAAGGAAGAAAGAACCTTCTGGGAATAAAATTGCATAAAAGTAGCATAAGCAGAACCAAAACCTAAACAAGGTTTTGATGTAAAAAGGCAAAGGGATTAATTTTCTTTTTTACAATATTAAAGATACAAATGGAGGAAACCACAACCTGACTCTATATTGTTATTTTAAATGTGAATGGACTAAATAATCCAAAAAGTGGAAAGACGCCACAATACCAGAAGCAGGCCCCAAAGCACCCAGTGGTCAACTAGAACCAGGAAGGACAGCTCTGAGTATGCCCTCTGTGACGGCCTTCATAACATGTACACAATTAACAGAAATATGTAAGATCAAAGCCATATTGCAACAGATAAGTGGACAAAGGATACTGGTACAGTGAATAGAGCACTGGGTCATAGACAAGAAAACCTGAGTTCAAGTTTGGCCTCAGGCACTTAGTAGATGTGTGACCTTGGGCAAGTTACTTAACCTCTCTTTGCCTCAGTTTCCTCAACTATAGCACCTCCTTGCAGAGTTACTGTGAGGATCAAATGAGATGATATTTGTAAAAAGTGTTTTGTATAGAGCCAGTCACATAGCAGCACAATATAAATGCTAATTCCTTTCACTTTCCTCATCATATTAAATAGTGTTTCAAATCACTAATAATAATAAAAATGTAAATCAAATCAACCCTAAGGTTTCATTTCACACCCAGGAAACAGGTAAAGATGGCAAAAATTGGAATACTCAGTGTTGAAAGAATTGTAGAAAGATGGGCACACTAATTCATTATTGGAGCTTATATTTTTCCAACCACTCTGGAAAGAAATTTGGAATTATGCAAATAAAATAGCTCAAATGTCCATATCCTTTGATTCAGAGTCTAGGTATATAACCCAAAGGGAAAAGACAAAAAGAAAAGCCTTGCGTGTGATAAAAAAGAAGAGCCCTGTATATATTGGCAGCAGCACCAAAGAACTGGAAAACAAAGTTGATGCCCATCAAATGGGAAATGGCTACATACATTACTATACATGAATATAATGGAATATTACTATGCTGTAAGAAATGATGAATACAGAGGAAGCATGGGAAGATTTGCATGAACTGGTGCCAAGTGAAGTAAATAGAACCAGGAAAACAATATACACAATGACTATGACAACAAAATAATTTCAATTAAATATTGTAAAATTATTATAACCAAGTTTGGATTCAAAGAAGAATCATGAGACACCTTCCCCTGTTTCTTTGCAGAGGTGAGGGACTGTGAGTATAGAACAGCTGTATAAAATGTTACACTGTTTCAATTTTTTAGTTTTCGTTTGGTTTTGATTCTTTCCCCTCCCCACACAAGATAGCTCTCTTGGAGGGAGAGAGTAAATATAAGGGTTACATTGGGAAATAGGTGATGTAAAATATCAATAAAAGTGATTTTTAAATGTTTTGGAAAAACCCTAAAATGGTATAAATGTAAAGTATTATTATTACTAATACAGCCTGGTAGTTTGGTTTATACTTGTTTAGATTCAGTTCAGTGGAGATTTGATGTTATCACCAAGTTCCATGGTCCAGGAGCTGAACAGAGTTGAAGAACTTTCAGATTTTTTTAAACTTTTACTCCAATAGCACTTTAATGTCAAGAAATATTTTGTTGTTGTTGAGTTTCTTTTGAAGCTTGGAATTCATTCATTTACTTATGTTGGTAATTAACACAATAACAGTCTGATAAATAACTGCAAATGAAGCCAAGGTGAAGTGTCTTCCATTATTAAATTTGTTATACTAATTTCAAGATATTTAATAACTAGATAAGTCTAAATCAGGCAGTTGCTACTGAAAAACCATAATCTTTGGGCTAGAGTTGAAAAACAGAAAACTATCATCTAAAGCAGTGGTCTCCAAATCAGACTATGTGATCGATCAATCAGAAAGTGAGAAGATAGGCTGCTCCTATGCTCCACAATGGCCAATCACAGAGCTTGTCTACAACATAACCACACTAACTCTTATCCCCTGATACTCCTCCAAGTCTTCCCTCTCTTTCTTCTGTACAAACTCCCAACCTCCTTCGGGTGATCTAGGCTTGGGCCACTACTCAGGGTAATTATAAGGCCAGGCCAGCAACAGCAGCAGCAGTTATACAGGTTTCATTGGGAAATTCCTCCTTTCCCCCAAACCTCAGTTTACCCATCCCCAAATCTCAGATTTCTTGTGACAGCTAAAGGCAAGGTCTCAAAGGGCAGACTCTAAAATCCAGGCCATGGAATTGATGGTAAATAAGAGCTCTGCTTCCCTAACTTTCACTTTGGGTGAGACAGAGAATTTGAGCAGACATGGATGGATTGCAGTAGATTATATTTCACCTCAAACTCACCCCTCTTCCAAACTTCTCTTGTGGGACCACCACCATCCAGCCACCTACCCTTCCAGTCACCTAAGTTCACGACTTTGGTGTCATTTTCAACTCCTCATTCTCCTGCATCCCACAAATCCAATGTTGCCAAACCTTATTGCTATGTCTATCTCTCTCAATTTTGTCTTCTTTTTCTTCACACAGACACCATCTTTGTTCAGGCCCTCATGACCTCTTGCCCTAGACTATACCCAAGTCTCCCTACTTCAATCTCTCTTCTGCATAGATTATAAAGTGACTTTTCCAAAAGTATAGGTCTAGCATTGTAACTCTCCTACTCAATAAATTCCAGTGGCTTCCTATTATCCTAGAATAAAAAACTATTTCTTCATCTCATTATCTCTTTTAAATTTCTATTTTTGTATAGAAATCATAAGATACATAATTATTAGTAGTATATGCATATAGTTTATAAGTAAATTACATATATTGATATCTGCATTCAAAATGATGTTTACTAATAA